TGTATATACCTGTCTTATATAAACACTACCACATTCACATTCTATCTTGTATATACCTGTTTTATATAAACACTACCACATTCACATTCTATCTTGTACATACCTGTCTTATATCAACACTACCACATTCACATTCTATCTTGTATATACCTGTCTTATATAAACACTACCACATTCACATTCTATCTTGTATATACCTGTCTTATATAAACACTACCACATTCACATTCTATCTTGTATATACCTGTCTTATATAAACACTACCACATTCACATTCTATCTTGTATATACCTGTCTTATATAAACACTACCACATTCACATTCTATCTTGTATATACCTGTCTTATCTGTTAATTCTATTCTGTCTTTAGCATTCCCTATCATATCTTTTATCTTATTTATTGGTTTGAAGATAGGGTAAAAATTCTGATACTTTTTAAATACTTAATATAACTGACTTGTTAAACTTGGAACGTAAAGTAAACTTAGAGTTTCTTTTTTGTTTTTTTCATAAGCAGATTTTAATGCGGTATTTTTAACTGAATTTGCAGTTTTGTTAAACTCTAAGTTTACAGTGAGTTGCAACTAAAACATTTAGGCCCGGCATGGCCAGGTGGATAAGGCGCTCGACTCGCAATCTGAGGGTCGCGGGTTCGAATCCCCGTCACACCAAACATGCTCGCCCTTTCAGCCGTGGGGGCGTTATAATGTGATGGTCAATCCCACTATTCGTTGGAAAAAGAGTAGCCCAAGAGTTGGCGGTGGGTGGTGATGACTAGCTGCCTTCCCTCTAGTCTTCCACTGCTAAATTAGGGACGGCTAGCGCAGATAGCCCTCGTGTAGCTTTGCGCGAAATTCAAAACAAACTAAAACATTTAAGTGTTTTAACGGTCGTTAACTGAAATATTTACGAGATAAAACAGATAAAAGAGAAATAATTTAAAATTGTTTTTAAAACGTAGTTTTAAATGATAGTCACATTCTGTTCTTCATTAACAAGAAACTGATCTGTCCAATAAGGTATACAAAGTTTATCAGGACATATTTACCGTAACAATATCTGTTTTTAAAGAATAAATATTCAAAATTTATAAAGTAAATAGTTATCGATATATTGAAGAGTCAATATATGTTTCACGTTTACACCCTAAAACTAAAGGCATTTTTAAAATATGTGAGTCAAAAATTGTGAACGAACAAAGAACTTTCACAAAACTTCGCATGAATCATTAAGTTACATCAGTGAGACGTTGTTCTGATATTACTATAAATTCACCCGCTAAAGCTAGTTGCTATTAACACTAGTTTTAGCATTCCGGCCTAGCATTAGAAAATGTTTCGCGTTTTCAGAGAGTGTGTGATGTCAGCTACAGGACCGTTGGCACACGTCAAGATACATAGTTTTCTCGTGCCAGAAAATCAGGCTAATACTTCGAAACATGCTTCGAATTCTGGTAAACCAATGACTGAAATGCTGAACTTCTAATCCATCAACTTCACAGGCCATCCAGTCGACGACCCCTGATACGTTGGGTTTTGGGTTTGTTTGTTGTTAAGCGCAAAGCTACACAATGGGCTATCTGTGCTCTGCCCACCCGAATTTTAGGGGCTAGTTTATACTTAACTATGTCTATATTATAAAGAGAGCTAATGGATTTTTCTGCTAGCTATATGACTGGAACTCTTTATAATTCACATAATTTTGTCGAAACGTTGTGCCCCCCAGTGGCACAGCGGTATGTCTGCGGACTTACAACGCTAGAATCCGGGTTTCGATACCCGTGGTGGGCAGAGCACAGATAGCCCTTGTGTAGCTTTGTGCATAATTAAAAACAAACGAAACGTTGTACATTTGCAATAAAATTTTCTTCATAACCCATTCAATCCGTCTCCAAACTTTTATTTTCCAAAAAGTGGGTTCCTCGTCATCAAATTCAAGAGTTTAGGTTAGTTTTATTATCACAGAGAAAGGTGGTCAACATTCATTTGTACGCCATTTATTGTCTGTTTTTTTTTTTAATTCGTTCAAAGCTACTCGAGAGATATCTGGTCTTGTAGTCCCTAAGTTTGAAGTGACAGACTATAGATGAAGTAGGTATTAAACATCACCTACCGCCAACTCTTGGGCTACTCTCTTATTAACGAATAATAAGATTGACCGTCACATTATAATGGCTGGTGGGGAATCGAACCCTGGATTCTGGCGTGATTATCAGAGATTCTTATCATTATACTACCAAGACCACAGAAATATGATTTTCATTTGTGGTTACTGTTTACTCTGAAGGAACTCCGTCTGTGATATTAACTTTGACCTGTTTCAAATTAGTCAGTTTTTTTTAAGGATGGAGAAAATAACAATGCTGATCAATAATATAAAGCAGATGGCGACACTTTCAAAAATAAGTAATCATTTTTCCAAGAATGATATATTTTATTTGAATAAATGGAAAGACAAAATTATTCATAGTCAGTAGTGTATATACTAAAAGTTAAAAGGTCACCACTTTAAGACCAGTTTTACGAGTCAGAAATAACTTTTTTTTAATTTAAAAAGTTGCCACTGTAAGACTAATTTTACGACCCAGAAATAATTTATTTTGAGAAATTAAAATATCGCCTCTGTAAAACCAGTTTTATGAGTCAGAGATAAATGTTTGTTAAAAGCTAAGAAGTCGCCACTATAAGACTAATTTTACGACCCAGAAATAACTTATTTTGAGAAGTTAAAATATCGCCTCTGTAAAACCAGTTTTATGAGTCAGAGATAAATGTTTGTTAAAAGCTAAGAAGTCGCCACTATAAGACTAATTTCATGACCCAGAAATAACTTTTTTTTTAATTTAAAAAGTTGCCACTCTAAGACCAGTTTTATGAGCCAGAGATAAATGTTTGTTAATAGCTAAGAAGTCGCCACTATAAGACCAGTTTTACGAGTCAGAAATAACTTTTTTAACTTAAAAAGTTGCCACTCTAAGACCAGTTTTATGAGTCAGAGATAAATGTTTGTTAAAAGCTAAGAAGTCGCCACTATA